CGCACGCACATCTGGGTTGTCGCAGCCGATCATCTCCCCGTAGGACACCTGGTGGCACAGGCAGTACGTGGGCTCGTTGGGATCCACAGGCATGTCCAGCACATCCGAGGGGTGCACGGACAGGATGGTGTCCGTGAACTCAGACCTGCGGGAGGCAAGGCGCTGACGGCGGGGCGGGAGGGCGCCACCTTCTGTCTGTGGCCCGGTCCCCTCGAAGGTGGCTGCACAGACAGACAACGCTGCCCAGGAGGAAACCTGCGGTGGGCTCCAGGCTGCTCACCAACTCTCCCTCAGCGTCCCCACCGCAAGCTAGGATCTGGTGAAATGCCCCGTGCTGCTCTGAAGGCTCATTTTTCAAGGACAACCTCTAAACCTCTCTGACCACACTGTGCTCTCCTACGAGTTTGTGGCGAGAAAACTGGCGTGGATGTGAGCAGCCACCAGGCGACGTTGCACCTGACGACCCCCAGATCCCCAAGCAGGAATGAGAGGGGCAGCAAGGGCAGGAGACAGGAGGGTGCACCCCCCTCCCACCGCCAGGGTGCCGAGACCACTGGACTAGGGGACAGGACCTCGAGGTCTACCAGTCCTGCTGGCCCTCCTTGGCTCCCAGCCACCTCCTTTGGGGCTCACAGGCAACCCTACCCACCAGGGACAGCTGAGGTTTGAAAGAAGCCTGCCCGCACCCCATCCCACACTGACCCGGGTCAGGGCACTCCCCAGCACTCCCACCACTTCCTGATGTGCCATGCCCCCATGAGAAGTCCAGTGCATCCTGTGCCCAGGCTTCCACACATGTACACAGATACCTTTACCCCAAATCCACAGCCCCAGCAGCTTGGGAGCCTGTCACCCCACTCCTGCTCAGCCTTCCCTGGGTTTCTGAGCAGCAGCGGGGCCCAGACCCCTCCCTCCTCCCCCTTCCCCCCAACCTGCCGCCAGACCACACCACAGGCCCGGCAGACCTCCCACCCACTCAGACACACACACACACTCCAGCACAATGCCGCCAGAGCTCCAGAGGGCTCCGGGAGCCCAGCCCCTTCCCCTGTAGGCAATCAGCTCTTCCACTGTCTCTGCATCTCTGGAAACAAAGGATTCTCTCTCATATCTGAGATCCATGCCACAAAAACTTGTCCAAGTCCATGTGCTCTGTCAATCTTGCTTCCAAGCACGTCACAACCATCCTTCAGGTCTGGAAACAGCTCTGTTTTTCCTGAGGCATGTGGCACTCCGTGGCTCAGTCACCTTTCCTGTCTGCGTCGTCACGCAGCCTGGCTGCAGCCTCTAAGGTGGCAAACCCTCTGACAACAGAGGTCTCGCTGTCTGTCCACTCAAACTCCTTCAGCTGGAAAGTGCACCAGGGCCCTACAGCCACACCCCAGAGCAGCAGCCTGCCCTGCTGCTCCAGATCCCTGTCACCCAGCAAGGACCCCACAGGCGGCTGATCCTCAGGAGCTGGGCAACCTCAGCCATCAGTGGCTGGCCACCAGCTAGCGCTGGTCCCACTGGTTCCAGGTGTAACGGGCTCCCGTTGCCAGACAGGCCAGTGGGCCTCCCAGCACTGCAGGAGCCCGTGTCCACACCTCGGGATCAGAGGCTACAGAAGAAAGGGCCCTTCGGCCCCACGCAGGCCCGCCTTAGTAGAAGGTCAGGCTCTGTGGTGTCTCGAGACGGGAAGCAGTTGGAGATCTGGGATGTTCCTCTCAGGATGGCCCCTTGGCTTGGCCCCGGAGGTAAGCGAGCCACAGGAACTTGGAACCGGGCACCATCCTAGGTCCCCCAGGGAAAGGGCTCTGGGAATGAAGCAGGGACTCCAAGCCCACACTGAAAACCCACTGCACAGGCAAGTTCCTGTGCGCCTTGTCCTTCTAGGGCCGGGTCCTTGTAGCCACACCAGTTCCCACACTAGCCCCAGGAGTCCTGGGTTCACATCCACCTGGCTACCTCCTGGGACCCCTCTAGTCCTCCACAATGGTTGCACACCACAGAGCTGGGGGCCTCAGGGCACCCCACTGGCCTCAACACCTATAAAATGGCCCAGGGCAGCACGGCCGCTCAGGGGCCACAGAGGACCTGGACCTGCACATAAGCAGATGCAGGCAGGTCCCACAGGCCCCTCATCACACCACCCACATGGTTATTGCCACCTGTCCAGCAGATAAGCCTGGAAGCAGTGAGCTATGGCCTCCTCCTGCTACTGAACAGGAATTGGCACCAGGCACAACGCAGCTCCTGCTGGGCGGGCCCATGGCTACCTGTAAGCTGCCACCTGAGAGGTGGTCCCACCAGGCAGGGTCCCTCCTGTAGCGTCAGAGAGAGGGGCTGGGCTCCCCCCGCGCCCCCTGGAAGCCCCAGTGCCAATCCTCTCACCCAGGGTGCCCTGGGGAGCATTCTCAGTGAGGAGCAGGCCAAAGGCTCCAGGTGCTACTGCCCTCCAAGCCGGAAAAATCAAGTCCAGGAAATTCAAAACCACATTTAAGTTAGGCGCGGTGGCTCAGCCTGCCATCCCAGAGGTTTGGGAGGCTGAAGTAGGAAGATCACAAGTTCAAAGCCAGCCTCAGCAACTTAGCGAGGCGAGACCCTGTCTCTAAATAAAAAACATGAAAAAGGCTGGAGATACGGTTCAGTGGTCCAGCACCCTGGGTTCAATCTTCAGTAACCCCCCCAAAAAAAAACATGTACAGATGTCAGAGGCTCTAGGGCCAGGAGAAGAGACCTGCAGTTGAGGGAGGGTCTACCCACCTCCTGGGACCAAGAGCCCACCCTGCCACACAAGCCAGCGTCACCACCACACGCCAGGGCCTTCATGCAGCTGCCACTTCAGGACACGTGCAGGGTTCAGGGCCAGGAAGGCCTCGCCTGGCAACCCGAGGCCCAAGGGGCACTGGGTCTGCTGCAGACACAGCCCTCCACCCGGCTCCACCTGCCGGGGCCAGAGAGTGCACACTGCTGGGGGAGAGGGGAGCGGACTCGGCCACACCTCCCTGACACCCAAGGTCAGACAGGCCATCAGAACTCCGCCTGTGATCCCGGCAGCTCAGGACGCTGAGGAGGAGGGTCATAAGTTCAAGTCCTCTCCCTGGAACCTGTGAGATCCCGACTTGAAATATTTAAAGGGCTGGGGTACAGTTCAGTGGTAGTGTGCTTGCCAAATGTGCATGAGGCCCTGGGTTCGATCCCCAGTACTAGGGGATGGGGGGACACATCATTTTCAAATTGCTACCAGTCAGTATTAGAGAGAAATCTTACAGAAAAAAGAGAGAAAATGTCCATAATAATGGGAACAAAGGTTTTGCTGACTTCTCATCTGAAATTACAGGAGACAAAAGAACACAGAACATCGTCATTAATGAAAATAGAAAGCAAGACAAACTTCAAGATCTACCTCTAGCAGAACTGTCCTTCAAAAGTGGAAGAGAGGATCGGGGCTGGGACTCAGCACAGAGCTTGCTGGGCAGGCCCAGAGGCCCCAGGTTCAATCCCCAGTGCCATGCAAAAAACAAAGAGGCAAAACAAAGACATTTCCAGGGAAACAAGAACCCAGAGGACTTGTCTCCACAGGTGACCCGTGACTACCGCAGAAGACAGTCCAGGCAAAGGGGCCTTGACAGCACCCAGGGGTGACCTCTATGTGCGAGCTGCAGTCAACTCAGTCTTCAAGATTCCACCTACTGTCACCTACACAGCACCACTTGGCACAGGGGGTCCCTGACGTCCTGCTCACCCAAAGGAGCATGCCCTTGGCCACCACCTCCCAGCCCCTCAGCCCCTGCTCACTGCCCACCATCCACCACCAGAGTCCAGCCCCCCAGCACACATATGCCAGGTCAGAACCTGGTGCGCCTGGGAGACTGGACTCAGGAAAGGCTCATGCTACACCCAGAACGGTGCCTGACGGGCACAGAGCAGGATGGACACAGGCAGAGCACGGTATCCACATGTCCAGTGCATCCAGCACACTATGTGGGGTCTCTGTGTGAGTTCACACAACAGCACACCTCCTAGAGCAGCTAGTACAATAGCAGGAAGGAAAAGAACACTAACAACATGCCTGACGAATCCAACTGTCAGGGAAGAAACAGATGGGCAAACAGAAAACGCTACCAGAGAGGAGATCTAGACACAATCATATTATCATCTACACACATTTAGCACAATCACAGAGCAGAGACTGCCAGTCTAGGAAAAAAGGACTCAGCTATTTGCTGCATATAAGAAACCCACTCGCCAGGCATACTGGTGCACAACTGTAATCCCAGCAGCTCAGGAGGCTGAGGTAGGAGGATGGCAAGTTTGAGGCCAGCCTCAGCAACTTAGTAAGACCTTTTCTCAAAATAAAAAATATAAAAGGGGCCAGGGATATAGCTCAGTTGGTAGAGTGCTTGCCTTGCATGCACAAGGCACTGGGTTCAATCCCAACACCACAAAAAATAAAAATAAAAAAGGGCTGGGGGTGTAACTCAATGGTTATGTACCCCCCAAAAAGAAAGAAAAACAAACACACTCAAAACAAAAAAAAAATGTGTTGAAAATGAAGGACGAGCCAAATATGGTGGCACACACCTGTAATACCAGTGACAGGGGAGGCTGAGGCAGGAGGAGCACCAGTTCAAAGCCAGCCTCAGCAACTTAGTGAGACCTAGTCTCAAAATAAAAAATAAAAATGGGCTGGGATGTGGCTCAGTAGTAAAGAGCCCCTAGGTTCAATCCCCAGTGCCAAAAAAAGGGGAAAGAGCACTAGAAGGAGAGGAGACGGGCCTTGAGCTGGAGGTGAGAGGCCCCACACGTAGAGCAGCAGCCAGACACACAGCCTGAGCAGCACTGTGGGCCCGGGCCTGGCTGGCCCTCAGGACACCGCCCAGCAGAGTGGAACCACACTCCATCCAGTGCCCTGCGCCGGGCCACCACGCTCATCTCCACTGCCTGCACAGGGCTCAGAACAGGATGTTCTGATCACAACACATCTAAAAAGTAAAATCAGTAAGTTATCAGGAAAATCCCAAATTAGAAATTGAGACACATACTTCTATGTGAGTTTTAGGTCAAGGAAAATCAGAATGAAAGTTTTTTAATATTTCAAATGAAATAAAAATTAAAACCCAACATATCAAAATGTATGGAATTTGCAACTAAAACAAATTAGAAGGTATAAAAATAAATGATCTAGGCAACCCACATCTTAAAATGCCAGAAAAAGAAAAGCAAATTGAACCCAAGCTGACGGATGGAAGGACACAACAAAGAGCAGACACAGCGGAAGCCACGGAGACTGAAGGCCAGCTCTCCTGAGGTCAGGACAGACAAGAGCAGACTACCAGCGCCAGGACCACAGTCATCAGCCGGCTCACCACAGCAGACCCTCTGCTGTCAGAAAACCTGGGGATACGCCAGGCACAGTGGTCCACACCTGTGACCCCCTGACTCCAGAGGCCGAGGCACATGGACTGCAGGTTCAAGCCCAGCCTGGGTAACTTAGCAAGACCTGTCTCAACACCTATAAAATGGCCCAGGGGCAGCACGGACATAAAGCCAGGTGCGAGGCTGGGCTCAGTGGTAGAGCGCTTGCCTAGCATGCGTGAGGCACTGAGTTCAATCCATAGCACCACATGAAAATAAATAAAGTAAAAACATTCTGTCCAACTACAAAAAAAAAAAAAAAAAAAAACACAACAACCTGGTGCAGTGGCACACGCCTGTGATCCCAGCAGCTTGGAAAGCTGAGGCAGGAGGATCGCAAGTTCAAAGCCAACCTCAGCAAAAAAGAGGCACCAAGCAACTCAGTGAGATCCTGTCTCTAAATAAAATACAAGACAGGGCTGGGGATGTGGCTCAGTGGTCAAGTGCCCCTGAGTTCAATCCTCAGTACCAAAAATAAATAAATAAATAAAAATACAAGAATGGGAAGGATGTGGATGGCAGAGCTAAAGCACCCTCTGGTTCAATCCTAATACCACACACACACACACAAAAAAAAAATTCCTCATAAATCATCAGGTTTTTTGTCTGCTTTATTTGGTGCTGGGAATGGAACCCAGGGCATTGACCACTGAGCCACATCCCCAGCCCTTTATTTCATTTTAGTTTTTATTTTGAGATGGAGTCCCATTCAGTTGCTATGGCTAGCTTGAAACCCGCGATCCTCCTGCCTCAGCCTCTGCAGTAGCCACTGTACTCACCAAGGCAGACAAGTTTGTTGGAAAACACCTAGTACCAAACCTGACTCGAGAGCAACTTGAATCAGTAACAAAGCCCCTGGCTCCAGCACAAAGCGGAACCTTGAGATCAGAACATCTCACTGCACACACATGTGCCCTGGTAAAGCCGATCCAGAAGTCTAAGGGGCTGTGTGACCGTGGGGGAATGTCCACCTCATAGGGCAGAGCCTGGAGGTTCCGCCGTAGCACAAGGAAAAGCAGCCAGGCCCAGTCTGACAACCTGCTGTCAGGAGAGCACGGCTCGGCCCTCTCCCTAGCCCACAGCCGTGCCTGCAGAGGCCCCAGGCAGCGGCTGAGTTCTTTCTAGTGCAAAGGTCACTTCAGATTCGCTAGGCCTCTGGGGCCATTAAATAAAATATCTTGAAGAAGTTCAAGATAAACGACACATACATTTAATAAACACAGTCACACAACTTAACAGTGAATACATGCAAAACACATGTACGTAAAACCAACAGAGGGATACAGATGCGCCTTTGGAAAGGGGCCTGGCCAGCACTCGCTGTGGCACCCAGGGCTCTGCAGTTCCTGGGGGTGGCAGAGTGGCTCTGTAGGCACTGGCTACTGCACACAAACTCTGGCCTGGCGTGCCGGCAGCATGGACCCTTCAGCACACGCCAAGCTCCACAGAGCAGGAGCCACCTGGCCTGGGCGAGCACAAGGCTCACGGTCCTGCGGCTCCACACCCTAACCAGTGTGCACCATGCTCCTGGATAAAAAAGGGCAGAAAGCCCCTTACCCTCCTTTGTGTTTCTTCTTCTTGGGAGTATCTTCTTCTGAGGTCCTTCTGCCACGGCCCCGGGAGCCTCTTTTTTCTTTCTGACCTCGTCCTTCTGGAAAACAGGAAAAACCCAAATCACCCCAAATCTCTTTCACTAATTCACTACAGCAGAACAAGACTCACCCAAATACGATGTCCACCACCAAGTTCCTAACGCATCTGTTAGGCACAACTGCTCAAAACCCCAGCCAACAAGGACAAACAGGAAGAACACCACACTTGCTTTTCAACCCTCGTCCTCCGGGGCTGTCAAAGTCATTGCCATCCATCTTGTCCTTCAAGTCGGCTTCAAAGCGTGCCAGGTCAGCATCAAGCCTCCGGATGTGTTTATCCACCTGCAAACACACACTGGGAAGTTGGACTCAAAGGTCCAAGTGAAGCTCCTGGAGACGCAGGCACATGAGGAGCCCTAGTGCTGGGTCTCCAGTCATGGGTGAGCTGGACAGGCCACAGCAGGGCTCCTTTGGAAACCACATGTTCCTAACAAAAGAGTCTTTCCTGGAAAAACCTGAGCAGAGCAACAATGAGTAACAGGTGTGAAATGCAAAGGTAAGCAGGGGACAACTGCTGGGTGCAGGGGCCACACCTGCCTCGCATGCATCAGGCCCTGGGCTCTATCCCCAGCACCACAAAGCCACCGAAACACAAAGTGGACCTCCACCTCAGGAGGAGCCAGAACAGCTGTTCTTCAGCAGGTGACAGCAGCATCTCTCTGCAAGCTCGGCCCCCACCCTGGCCAGCCCAGTGACGGCAACACCAGGACGGCAGCCACACCCAGAGCACCCTCGCGCCTGCGGGAACCCACAGCAGGGACACGCACCACCTCCACCTGGGGAGGACCCTAGCCTAAAAACCCAAAGAATGAGTAAGCTCTTGAAGGAAGAAAGGCAGTGAACAGAACCACCATGCTTCAGGCACAGGACCAGTGGAAGCAACACCTAAGAAGGAGACACTCCTATGGAGCAGCAGCCATCACACCCAGCACCCGCCCTCCTTCATCCACACGGCCACACCACCATCCACAGGGCGGAGAGACAGCACTCTTCCATACCCGGAGACGACCCACCACCTCAAACTCTGCTGTGCATCCTGCTGACAATGAACCAAACCCAACGTGTTTTGTTTGTTTGCTTGTTTTCATAGTTGTAGATGGATAGCATACCTTTATTTTATTTGCTTATTTTTATGCAGTGCTAAGAATCGAACCCCATGCCTCACACATGCTAGGCAAGTGCTCTGCCACTGAGCTACAACTCTAGCCCCAAATCTAATTTTTTAGAAAGAGTCTGCTTAATCCCCAAATCTGGCAGTCTGGAGCATCCACCTAGGCAGCAGAACCCCAGAGTGAGCTTCAAACTCCAGAAGCCCACAGCATCACAAGATGACTTTGTACCACAGGGGTCCAGGGACAGACTGCAAGCTCAGCCCACAGGGGCAACAGAGAGCCCAGGCTGGGGCTGGAGCAGATCAGGGGTGCCATGCTCATACAGCATGCACCCACATGGACAAACTGGCCCAGCGGGCAGTGCCCCAGGACCCCCCGCCCAGCACCCAGAGCCTCACCATCTCGTAGGTCTGCATGGCCAGCTGCACCTTGTCATCGCTATACTCCTTGCACTTGCTGTAGGCGCTCTGGATCTTCTGCAGGTGCGCCACACGCTGGTCTGGGGAAAGGGTCTTCACTGTGGAGATATACTCTGCAGCCAAGAGGTCGATTTCTGCTTTTTTATCTGGTGGAAGATGCACCACATGTCACCAGGCTAAAAGCAGCATGACAAGGCCAAGTGGTGGCAAGAGCTGGCCCAACAAGAACCAAGCCCTGCCTGGAACATGACCACCACTGCCCACAAAGCAGCTGTGTTCCAGGGGTGTGCGCTTCATGGCATGCACTTGTGAGCTCTGGGACTCTCTAGCACTCTGACTGGTCAGGGGTCCAAGGTGCACACTAAATGTTAATTTTGTGTGTAGACTAGGTCTCATCCCCAAAATAGTTCATTACACATATGCAAATATTGCAATTGGAAAACATCAAAAATCTCAAACACTTCTTTTGGATAAGGGATACTCAACCTACGTGTACAATTTGGAAGTAGGAAATTTTTAAAAGAAAAGAAAAAAAGCAAGAAGTGCTGTGACTGAAAATGATGATGGCTAAGATGTCACTCACATGGGATGCAGTTCAGAGGTGGAGCACCTATCTGGCATAAGCAAGGCCCTAGGTTCCATCCCCAGCACTCCCCCACTCAGCACATGTACACATGCATGTGTAAACACACAGATGTGACATGAAAACGTGTAAAACTCCAAGAAGCTACAACTGACTTTAACAGTACCAGCGCTCTCTCAAAGACACTAGTGATTCAGCTCCCTGGCTGCCCTCCAATCCCCCACTGCCTCCTCTTCTGGCTTTGGGAGCTGCTGGCTGGAGTCAGCACCCAGCTCTGCTAAACCCACCTTCTGTCCTCTGGTCCAGCTCTCGCATCAGCTGGAAGTTCCTCTGAAGTTCACAGGGAAGGTTCTCAATGCCTGAAACAAACATGGAGCCGTGTACCTCCCAGGAGGGCAAGGTCTGCCACCTAGCCTTTCTTGGGTGTCTGTAACAATGTGCTCACTGGCTTCTGTCTCTGCTCATGTCTGAGAGCAGAGGGATTAAAACCTCCTTCTAGGGGCTGGGGATGTGGCTCAAGCGGTAACACGCTCGCCTGGCACGCGCAGGGCGCTGGATTCGATCCTCAGCACCACATAAAAATTAAAAAATAAAGATGTGTCCACCAAAAAAACTGAAAGATAAACATTAAAAAAAAAAAAAAAAACTTCCTTCTAGAGGTGGGTCCCTGTACTGGCTGGCTTGAAAAGCCACCAAAGCTGGAGAAGCTAGCAGGGAATGCCAGCTAGCCAGCAGAGGCAGGGAGACAGCCACAGCTCCTCCCAGGAGCCCCACCCACTCCTCAACTCAGACCACCCCCCTCAGTGAACTCTGACCTCCAAAGCCAGAACCCCATCCTCCTTGATCTCTCCCTTGCCCTGTAGTGCAATGCACCAGGCACTGGACACAAGGCAAGCATGTTCTCTCATCCCTGCCCAGCACAGCAGCCACTGGCTACGGACAGCTGAGCACTGGAAATGCAGCCCATGTGACAGATAGCCCCTGCAGCCAGCAGTGACCCTGTGAGACAGCTGGAGAGAACACCAACCTGCTTTCCTGTCTGCATTGCACCTCTAGACCAAGGGGACACTCCCCCAGCAGATGTCCACGTTGGCTCCCTCTTCTGTTCTACCCCAAGGCAATACTTTTTAGCCTAAATCCAATCTTTCAAATCTGATGTCAGGCACTGTGGCTTCCTCAATTGGCCCAGGGCACAATTCACAGCAGCCTCTGGCTTCCCATACTCTCCCCTGGCCCTCTCCAATCTGCCCAAGGGACAGCACCCGCAGCACCTCTCCTGTCGTTCCTTTGTGTCTCGTAATATTCTGTTAACTTTTAAACCACCTGTGATACCTGCTAGAGAGCTGCAGGGAAACGGGAGTCCCGCTCCCGACCTGCACCCAGCAGGTGCTCTGGGGGTAGCACAGGAAAAACCTCATTTTAAACTAGCCTCAGGAGGCCCCCTGGTGGGCACTGGAACAGGGACGGCCCCGCTCCTCTGGCAAAGGGTGGAACCGGGCGTCCCTTGAGGAAGGGATGGATCCCACGCCCCGCTGGGGCCTCATTTACTCCTCTGTGCAATGAGGGAAATAATCACTCTCCCGCTCTCAGGGGACCGACCACCTGTAAACTGCGCGGGCCTGCCTCGGACGTCAACCCACTCAGCAGGAC